AGAGAGAAAGAAAACCTTAGAGATGAGTTTTGTCAAACAAATATTGCAGACATGTCCATATTCTGCAGTTAATGCTGTCAAACCTTTTTGGCGGGATGGAGGAGGCAGCACAAGAGCAAATGTCAATTTACCCCAATTACAGACCAAAAAAGAGATTCCATTCAAACTCAATGGTGGACCAATGAGTTTAATACACTTACAAGGGCAGAGGTGAGGGGTTAGAGTTACAGGAGCCTGGGAGACCAACGAACATTTTCTAGAGTCCAAACCCAGCACAGGTGGCAACCTCCCAAAGGCTGCATGGAGGAGTCCCCCCCTCCTCCTACAGACTCTACTATCTCCCAAGGCCACACAAAGGCTGCAGTCTCAGGTGAGGCTCAAACAACCCTCTCCCCACTCCTTCCAGGGAAATGCTAAACTTGATTGTGTAAGGGTCTCTTGTGCTAAGCACTGCTGCTCTGATTTCAAGAAGTAATGGCCATGTCATGCCCTGAAGACAGTTCCACAACAAATACTAACAAGATCCACCTTTATTTCTTTCAAATTTCCTTTTATCCTAATAGCCCTGTCCCCATTTTATATTTTCCTCTAGTTTAGTGTATACCTAAGTATACCTTGTAAATTTTCTACTTGAAATATCAACACCAGTGACTAACATGAGCAATTCAGTGTGCACAAAATATTGTCAAAAATAAGCCAGTAAGGGACTAGAGAAATGGCTCAGCAGTTCGGAGCACTGGCTGCTCTTGCAGAGGGACCCAGGTTTGGTTCCCAGCACTCACATGGCAGCTAGCAACCATCTGTGACCACAGTTCCAGGGGATCTGGTACCCCCTTCCTGGCCTCTGCAGGTACTGCATGACACAGGTGTACTTATACACATGTAAGAAAAATACTCATACATGTAAAATTAAAAATAAAAAAAGGCCAGGAAATCTCTGCAGACCTGCTGGCAACAATATCAGAAGCCAGGTGAAGACCCTGAACAGTCAACTTGGGAAATATCCCTTAGCATCAAGATGGCAGGAGAAGAGAGTTTTCTTTTAAATTTTTATTTTATGTCTATGAATGTTATACCTGCATATACGTAAGTGCACCCGTGTCACACAGTGCCTGAGGAGGTTGGAAAAGGGCATCAAATCCCCTGTAACTGGAGTTACGGATGGTTGTTGGGGGCCATGTGGGTGCTGGGATTTGAACCCAGGTTCTCTGAAAGAATAGTCAGTGCTCTTAACCACTGAGCCATCTCTCCAGCCCCAGGACATCAAGCATCTTTCCCCTTCCCACCGAGTGTTTGGCAGTTTTTCTATCAGGTGGCGGACTGAAGTACTTCAACAACAGAAAGCTGGAAGAATGTGGAAGAAAAGGAGGGATTATCTCCGTCACATGGGATGAGACTGTTTCAAGTTGGAAAGTCTAGCATAACTGATCAGCTGGTAGGTGGGGAGGGCACAAAGAGGGGAGAAGAGAGAGAGGGAGGAGGATGGGGGAGAGGGAAATGGGAAGAACAGGAGCATCTTCCAACAGGTTATGGGGGGGCACCATTTAGATAGTTTTTAAAAAGTCAAAGCCAATAACCTGTGTTTCTCTAAACTATACTCAACCTGCTTTAGAGATGCTTTCCTGACTCTCAACAGACAGATACCAAAGCTGTCTAGAAAATGAGAGCAGTAGTGTCACATAAGCTCACTAGGAATAGATGTTAAGACCATCACCGTCAGGGGCTGTTTCATAAAATAGCAAAGCAAAAGACATGAAGTTACACAACTAAATGATCCTTCATTTTCTAAAATCCCTGCTCTAGGAAATCGGGAAGAAACTCTGGAGAAATCAAAATGGAAGTGCACTTTTGAGAGGGTTACTTTTCTGTCTAAAAACTGCCTGGGAAGGAGCTGGGTTCCCACATAGCAACTCTGCCTAGGGTACATGGATGCAAAAACTTAACAGCAATAGCACTACAAAGAGACCAGCTTTCAATCCATAAAGCAGAAGCATTTGAGCCCCTTAAAACAAGGTTCCTAGAAGGTTATAGTTCCAGATATTCTCGTAATAAAGGATTCTGAGACCACAGGTATGTCTGGTCTGACAATGATCAATGGGAAAATCCAGCCAGATAATTTACACAGATGTTCTCTAAATAGAATTTCAACATAAAGTAAAATACCAGCTCCACACTTGGGAACTGGCCTTCAGTTAAATTCTCTAGTGCTTTTAGATTTCTTTTTTTAAATGTCATTTTATTTAAAAAGAGAAAATCATTGTCTACAAACTATTTTGTGTCTAACTATGCAAATACACATGTAAATCATCAAAATACTCTGAAAAAAATTCCCTGACAGCACTAACAATTTTAGGAATTTCCCTCAGGACATCTGAGGAAGAGCAACAGATTTCAAATTATAGACATCAGCTGAGTTTTAAGAATAGAAAAGAAACCTAAACATTTAAAAAGTCAGTAAGTTTAAGTTCTCTGATTTTCAGTAATTTAAATTCAATCAAGAGGAATTCAGATGTAGCCAGTATGTTAGAAATTGTAGAAATGGATATGGGGGGCAGTAAAGTAATTCCCATGCAGTATTTTAAGTGTTGCTATCAGATATATTTAAGTGACACTTTACAGATTAAAGCTGGGTAAAATCAAGATTTATCCTCCCTTTTACATTTTAAAACAGTCACAATAATTTATCAACAGTTGCCACAGCAATTAGAAAACAGGAGTTGATACAAGTTGAACAAAAAGATATTTTTTTCCTCGTCCTTTAGGTAACAAACATAGATATATAGATACATATACACAGGCACATTATCTTTAAAATTCAAAGTGGCTAATTTTGCTTTTCTTTAATTAAAAAAAGAATTCTCACTATGATCAAGATACTGAAAAAAAAAAAAAAAAAAAAAACAAAGGCCAAAAAGAAGAAAACCACACTTGACACATTTAAAAAAAAATAAAACACACTGTCTCAGTGGCTTTATTTATTTGATTATGATTATAAAGTTGTATACCATAAGGACTCAGACTCTTAGGACTGTACTGGATCCAACTGAATCAAAAGACAATTCTTTTCTGGGGGGAGGGGGGTGTCCCTGTCGCCCAAACTGGCCTAGAACTCGCTAACTGTAGACCAGGCTGGCCTTAACTCACAGAGATCAGTGATCCGCCTGCCTCTGCTGGGATCAAAGGCATGTGCCACCACACCCAGCCCAGAAAGCAATTTTTTAGGCAGTAATTTGGGAGCTTTTGGAAATATATAAAGTCTTTCCAGAAATTTGAGTACAGATACAGAGATGATTTCTCCATAATAATTTCTCTAATGCAAGGGTCTGTGGCTCATGGTTCGTATCTAGCATGTCATCTGTTTTTGTAAATAAAGTTTTATTGGAGCATAGTTATGCTCATTTGTTTCTACACTGTCTGTGCTGGCTTCAGCTGTGACAGCTTCTATGCAACAATAAAAGTTGAGTGGCTGTGACACAGACCTAAAGTATTTACTCTCTGGTCTTCCAGAGGAACAGTTTACTGAATCATTCAGCTAGTGTCCTACCCTAGGAGTTAATGAACCTCAAAAAGACTTTAGAACAACCTCGGATTTATTCAATAGTGGGTAGATGTTGAATACCTTGTCCTGAAGTGGTATTTTAGCTTTGGGCAAGAGAACAATGTTTTTAGCAGATACTTGTAATAGTTAACTGGAAAGGGGTAACAGAGAGGAAGGAAGAAATGTTTGGCTATGCTCTCCCAATATTTTCACAGTTTTGGAGGGAAAGGGTGTTAAAATGATCCCTTCAGTCTGTGGAAGTGCTTTCTGATATGTAGGGTTCTTTCCTCCCCTCACTACACAATAAATAAACTTTAAAGCATTCTGCCAAAAATACTTTGTTTGGTGAGATCCTATTTGGAAATATTTAAACAAAACATACTCAAGATTAATCTTTTAGAAATTCTGTATTTCTGTTACTCCAAGAGAAAGAAGGTAAAGAATAGGGAAATCAAACCTTATAAAACATACCTTAAAAACCATAGGTGTAAAAATAGCTTCCATGTTTGAATAGTTAGTCATGTAAAACGAAAACAAGATCATCTTTCAAGTCTGAAGAGCAAGGTCTCCCGCTCATCACTAGTGCGGGCCCTCCAACAAGGAACCTCTTGAGCTCAAGAAGCAGAGCCTGAATCCAGGAGTTCACAGGTGTTTCAAATTTCAAGAACTACAGAAACAGGTGATAAAACACTGAGAAGATATTTATCAAACACAAATTTATATCAAGATAAACCTTTTTTTCACAAAGCTTAAAAGTGAACTTCCTTTTTGTTGTTAAAAAATGGATGGTATGAAACTCTATGTTAAAGCTGCTTCTATGGTAATATCATACATTTAAACACCACTTTACAGTCGCAAGGTGTTTCTATCACACGCCATCATATTTAGTCCTCACAACAGCCCTGTGAGGTAGGTACAACAGGTGTCATTATCCTATCTGAATATGAGGAAATTGAGGCAAAGAGAGGTTAAGCAACTTGCCAAACATCACATAGCACAATGTGCAGAATCAGAACCAGAAAGGAAAAACTGAGACTCCCCTGTCTGGTACTCTCTCCACTGCTGCTGCCTCCAGCGATGGACAATGTACTCTACCAGACTGGAAAGGCTACCATAGTTCATTTTGGTGTCTTAACAATAAAGTTAAATGAGAAATACAAGGAACAGCAGGTCTGATGACTTTACTTGACATAATGAAATTGGAGCAAAACCACTTTTGTCTAATTGCGTGTAACCTTTTGGTCCAAATACATAAAATACGCAATATTTACAGCATTTTCCTTTTGCAAATGCAATGCTTCAAAACACATTATAAAGCACCATAGTAAAAATAGTCTACAGGTAAAAGTACAGAAGTAGGAAAGTCCTACCCATATCACAGCTCACTAATGGAGTCATGATATGGAATCACTGTATCTCAGTGTACAGCTTTACAAATAACCCACAGAGAAACAAGTACTAAACTCACTGTTTTGCTATTAATGTGTGGAAGTCCTTGTTAAAACCTCAGATAATGCCAACATTCTTAGAAATATCACCCCAATATTAGATGCTGGGGAGATAGGAATCAGGAATACTGTTTTAACTTTTATCTTTTTACAGTATTATTCATGGTTTAAGTTGATTTTTTAATACTAGTGATCATCAAAAAAAATTAAAGCCACCTATGTGAGTATGGGAAATTCCAACTGAAGCAGAAACAGTTCTGAGAAAACATCATCAAATACTCTGATAGCTTCATGAGACATGATTCACAGCAAATCATACTGCCAAACAGTTCTTAGCAAGACTCAGCAGAGGTGTGCAATGCAAACCTCTAGAAAGTGAAGTGGCAAGTGGATTTGTCTTCATTCAAGGATAGGTGGAAAAATGCTTTATCAAAGCCAGAGTATCAGAATCTTTTCTGAAACTGTATGTAGACTTCTGATCAAACCTGCCATGTGTTTACTTTAGGTGATGTAAAGTACTTCCCATTCTAGGGAGTTCATAACTATCACCAAAATGAAAAAAAGAGGAACAACAAAAAAATTAAAATGCCTGAAACTTAAAAACTTCTTACAACACTGACATATCAGCCAGTATCTAGTTGGTTGACATCGGTCTGTTTCCTAACTCAGCTCAATACAACTGTCTTACACACATATCTGTTAATCCAGGTTGAGAAGCTGAGACCAAAGGTGAGGATAGAGTCAAAGTTCAACTTCAAGAATGCATTAGCCACACCTGTACTCAGTTCGACTTGGGGTAAATCTTTTCATAGAAAAAGTTTTGTGCAAGGATGTACAGATCTCCATCTTTCTCTCGAACAGCATGGGCTCTAATGAACTGGAACTGCTCGAGTGCAAATTCATAGAACTCATTCTCCATTTTCCAAATGTCAGACTGCTGCAGTTTTGCGATGGTTTGTTTAGTGGGGAGTTTCTTCTCTGTGGTTTTCCTAAGGTGAGATTTCTTTCCTACTTACAATGGGAAAAGAAGAAAAATAAATAATTCTTAAAGAACACACAAAAGACCAATACCTCTTTATTTGAAGAAATGGTTAACATTAATATGACAAACTGAAGGACAAGCAATTCAGTAAAAATTGCAGCCCTAATCATAATCAGAAGTCTGATATACTGCCTTAGAATGTAAATCCTTAAAAGACTTAATGAAATGTCAAAATAGTAACTGTGAGGATCAGCACTTTAGGTAAAGTACAGGTGGTCACCTCACATACTATATTCATGTGTTCTGTGCTGAAAGGCATGTTTATTTTTTTAATTAAAAAACTTAACGAGGAGAGGGAGTGAGTGGGAGACAAAGAAACAGAGGGGGATTGGGGAGAGGCAGAAAGAGAAAGAACGAACAAACATAAGTAGAGGTCAGAAGACAACTTCCAGGAATCAGTCTCCTTCCACCATGAGTTCTGGGCACTGAACTCAGGTAATCAGGCTTATGTAGCATGTTTTTACCCTGCTGAGCCATCTTACCAGGCTTTGTTTTATTTAAAAACTAGGATAAAATATAACATACCAAACTTAATTCTAATTTCCCTCTACCTATATTTGTTATAATCAGGGAGAAACTAGGGCAGATGTATATAGGAAGAGTTTATATGACTGCATGCTATAAAACAACTAAAAGAAAAAAAAATTCCACCCAGAATTTGAGCAGCATGGTCAGTTTTCATAAATATCACACTTTCAAGATCTGGAAAGTACACTTTCAGGAATCTTACAGCAGACACAGCACATGATGCTTATGTCAGTGAGGTTTAGCCCTGCCCATCCCCTACTTTAAATGGTAGAGTGCAGGTCTATGAGTTTATTGCACTGTCCTTAATGTTCTGGGTTTGCTGAATATGATACATTTCTAAGTCTGGTTCTCTATCTGAATTATTCCAGTATGCCTACAGTGCCTTATAACGCTCACCTAATTCATGTTTACTCATTCAAAAACTGTTTAATGTGTGCCAGGCACTGTCTTGTATTAAAAGAACTGAACAGAGAGACACTATTCCTCCCTTCCTGGAGTCATTGGTTATGCTTTACTAAAGAAAGTTAAAATCACATATATTTTTCAAGTTGCAAATAAACTTAGAGCCTTAAAAAGAAACCTATCATTTATATACCTGTGCGGTAAAGGTCTGTAGCACCCCTGAAAAACCGGGGCAATGCTGCCTCCAGTAACATGATGAAGTCTTCAAGCTCTTCAGTAACTCCCACCAGAAAGTACTCGTTAATTAGGTTATACTTAGCTTGATCCATAGCCCACCTGCTTCCCACATTCCTGAAACCAAAGAAAAGGGATTAAAAACTGGTTGTTAAATCTGCTAAGTATTTCTAATCCTTCTGACACTGCATATAAAGTTAAGCGCATGTACATCCACACCTTTAATACATTTTTATTATCATTATCTTTTGGGAAGTGTACTTGTTTTTAACTATCTTTACTTCCAAATCTAGTTTCTGCTCATGTGCAGTGCTAACTTAGACTCTACTGAAGGGTTTGTAATATGAAGAAATTCAAAGGACAGTTTTTAAAATGCACATTTAGAACATATACCCCTTCCATCTGATTTAGTTGTGCATTTAATTTTTTTTTAAACTACCTTAAAATTTCTTCATTTTGAAAGCTCTTTTATAAGGTCTAGGAAATTTGTGTTTAATGCCTAACATTTCTTGTTCTTTCTACAAGCTTAGTGTTTCCTGAAATTTCTGTGACCAGGTTTTGCCCTCAACAGACTACCCTTCCAGGCTTTACTTAGCACTGACTCGGAGGCTGGAGTGGCTGCACTCTGAGAAGCGATGTGACTGGGGGTTGGGGGGTGGTGGTGGAGCCTCAATTCTCTTTGCTTTCTCAGCCATTAAAAATTCAAAACCACAAAATTAAAAACTGCATGTGATGTACATGCCTGTCATGCTGACATGTGTAAAGCAGGAAGTGGTGACAGGCAGACAAAAGTTCAAGGCCAGCCTTGTCTACACAGTGAGTGCCATGCCAGCTAGAGCTACATGTAGCCAAAAGTGGCCCACAGACTAGTTTACTCATGGCTACAAATTCGAGAAGACATTATTCCAACATTCCCAATTCTGTAGCACTGCTTTGAAACAGTCTACTGAGCCCTAAACGTCACAGTAACCTAATAATACATCTCAAATAATTAAGAAATTCCTTGAATTTCCCATCATGTGTGTAAGAAATGCACTAACTCTGAATGAATTATCTTTTTCTGATTTTTCTGTTAAAATGACTGAATAAAACAGGTATGGTACTGCATGCCTCTGTTCCCAAGCACCTAGGAGCTGGAGGCGGGAGACTCTCAAGTAAAGGACAGCTGGAGCTACTCATGAGACTATCAGGGCTAGGAGTGGAGCCGAGTGCTACAGTACTTGCCCAGCATGTGCAAGGCCCTGGACTGGACGCCTACCATATTGGGGGTGGGGGGAGAATATATACAATTATTTTAAAAAATTGAACACAGCACATTGTGAGGAAATAACTTCATTAGAAGCAACATATCTTTATTTTAGACTTCATGTTTACTAGCAGACTAAATTACAGCTTTACTTCTGTGTACTCTTAAAGTTAAAATTAATTAAAACCAGGTAAGTAATTTACACATGAAGTTTTACTTGATTTAACCTGAAACAGAAAGCTTAGGACAAAATGGGTTTATGAGAGTACCTCTGATCTCATAATAGCTCTGCTGGAAACAGACAAACCCCTACTGCATCTGAGAAAACACTTCGAGGATCTGTATGTGAAGAATCTTTTAAAGTTCTTCTAGGTATTGCTGCTATGCTATGTTATGTTTGGTATGGTCTCTCACTGAACTCCCCATACCCTGGTCCTGACGGCCATACTCATACCTGTGAGACAGAAACTGCAGAGATGACAAGGGAGATAATTAAGCTAATTTTGTTTTCCTACCAGCATTCTGAGCTATGGCCACAGAAGAACGGAATCTGAAGCCAGAGCTTCTCTGGAGCACAGTCTGAGCCGCCCTCAGCAACACATTCATCGAAGGTCTGCAGCAAAGACAGAAGAGCACTGGTCAGCCATAATCCAAGTCTTAGATAAAACAAAGTGGTTTTTATTCTCTGTATGTGTGTTTATGTGAGTGCAGACACACACATGCCAGTGTGCACATGGAGGTCAGAGCACAATCTCAGGCAGTGGTCCTTGCCTTTCATCTTGGTTCAGACAGTGGCTTGTTCACTGCTGTGTACGCCAGGCTACCTGGCTCATAAGCTTTGGGAGACTCTCCTGTCTTCACTTCTCCCCTCATCACAGGGGCATGGGATTCCAGATGTGCACTCCTGCGCCCAGATTTATATGTGGTCTAAGGAGCTGAACTCAGGTTCTCCTTGCATGGCAACTGCTTACCCACTGAGCCATTTCCTCAACCCCTCAAATAAATATTTTTTTGGATTAAATTTTTTTATTGTATTTTATGTGTATGAGTGTTTTGCCTGCATATGTGTAAGTGCACCCATGTGTGCAATGTCACAGAGGCCAGGAGAGGGTGTTGGGTCAGGAACTGGAGTTATGGGCGGTTGTTAGCTGTCATGTGGGTGCTGGGAATTCAACCAGGCTCCTCTGCCAGAGCAGCAAATGCTCTAAATAGCTGAGGCATCTTTCCAGCTCCAACCCTCAAACTTTTACTGTGGTAATTTACTAAGTAAATGATTGCAAGCAGGTGGGATAATTAAATGAAAGATATGACATGATACAAAAGCATGCTAGGGAAATGGGAGAAATTAAAAATACTGATTTTTCTTACAACTTTGTTTCAAGTCAATGTTTAATTTTTTTAAAATTTATTATTTTTATTTTATGTGTATGAATGTATTGCCCGCACGTATGTAAATGCACCCGTGTCGTGCAATGCCGTGGAGGTCAGAAGAGGGTTTCAGATTCCCCTGGAACTGGAGTTAGGGATGGTTCATAGCTGCCACGTGGGTGCTGGGACTCAAACCCGGGTCCTCTGCAAGAGCAGTCAGTGCTCTTAACTACTGAGCCATCTCTCCAGCCCCTCAAGTCAATGTTTAAAGAATTCTTTTCATATAGGAAACTCCTGTGGATAATAATTTGTCTTTGGAAATTAGCACTGGTTTATGACGATTTATTTATTTATTTTTGCTAAAAGAAATGATTTCTGTGAGATGATAGAATAAGATGCCAAGGAACAAACAAGGAGGTTCGTTTGTTGTAGTAAGAAATCCTCACACACCACCTGTTATTTCTGGAAAGCGGAAGCATAAAGTAAAGATCACTTGTTAAGGCTTGAAGGTCTCCAGGGTGCACTTTCCTAATCTGTATGATTAGATAAATTTAGAGCACCACTTTAATAAGCAAACAAACAAAAAAATCTATGAGAATAAGATCTCGAGGTCCTTAGATCTGGCTCCCATTGTCCACAATGTGACAACTTTCTTCACTCTGGCAAACTGCAATCCCCAGCCTATTTGCCCATTTCTTTTACCATGATATAAAGTTTTTAAGTGATATAAACTTATATACCTATAAGTTCAATGTATAATTTTACCTTTAACAATGAAGCTGGACTAGTTCATAGCATTCAATAAGTAAGATGCTGTTAATATATGTGTGGGTCTCACTCTTCACCTTGCCTCCCTAACAGTCAGATATAAGGTCTCATTTGTCCTTGCCTGACTGTCACAGCAATGCCACCTTCTGCTCTGTGAAAAAGCTCCTGGTCTCTCTTGCCACTAACCCTTCTTTCCTATTTCTTTGAACACTCCCATTTGGCTTTTTTTCTTGGTTCTCCACGTTTCCGGCGTATTTTCTTTCAGGATGTATTTTGGGCCTTCTGCTAAGCATTCACCACTTCATCGCAGCCAGTTTTCCTCACTCTCTCTTTCTTAGCCCACTTATCAACACTTCCTTGGTGTAGCTAAAGACGTCCAAATGAGCACCTCAGTTCTCTTCCTATCTATAAATAACCACCATACAATTTTATTTGAATTTTCAGTGTGCTTTATAGTCAATTAGTTTGGGTTATATGATTATAATGCCTGTTATGACTCAGATTCAAGGTTTCAAAGCATTTCCTGATCTTTGTCTTTACAACACATCCTTGAAGTAATGTCTTTCTAATCTACTTTCATTTTCTCAATTCCTACCTCCATAAGAATCTCCCTATTTTTCATGTGTTTGAATTATCTTTTAAAATGATTTAGTTTTTATGTGTATGATCGTTTTGCTGTATATATACAAGTGCATCAGTGTGTGAAATGCCCAAGGAGGCTTGAAGAGGTGTTGGATCCACTGGAACTGGAGTTACAGACAGTTGTTAGCTGCCATGTGGGTGTTGGAAAAATGACAACTTAGGCCAATCTTGTAACTATACAGAACAGATTAGAAGGAAGGGTAGCAAAGCCCAATTAAGAAGTCACTCCAAGAATCCAGAAACAGTGCTGGAGAGATGGCTCAGTGGTTAAGAGCACTGGGCTGTTGTTGCAGAAGACCCAAGTTTGATTCCCAGCACCCACATGTGGCTAACTACTACAACCCCAGTTCCAGGGAATCTGATGCTCTCTTCTGACCTCTGCAGCTATTGCATTACATGCTCTCTTCTGTGTCTCTGCAGGTGCCCTTACAAACATGCAGACAATAAATTCATACACATAAAATAAAATATATTTAAAAATCCATTCCAGCCTGCCTTTCAGAAAGGCTTCATGATGTGCTCTCTCTGCATCAGTCTTGCCCCATCTTTAACATCTAACATCCATCTTTACCAGATTATCTGTTTCATAACTGTATTATAGGTATCCCAAATCTCTGTAATTTGCTAGTATTTTTCTCCCTCTGGTAAATTCACTCTACCAATCTAGGTTACACAAGGACCAGCTTTCCAGTTACCTTCTGGCTGAAAGTCACTCTTGCTTTCTTTCTATTTATATATATGGGCTAGCTAGCTCTTAGGAAGTAGGTGTACTTATTCACATATGTCACCTTCATATCTAAGACTAGCTTAGTACTTCATGTGTTACATCCTCTCACTTCAATCGTGGTGAAAGCTTAAAAAAGAGATGTAGGTGTGTATGTGTTCCAGAGAACATAGTGACTGTTGGCACAATTACTATTTGTAAACTGTTACTGGAAAGACTGCACTTTGGGGGAGTTACAAGAGTATTAAAGACACAGTGGCGATAAAGTAATATTTTTCATGATATGTTTTGGTAGTCCTTTAGCATTTTCCTAAATTCTCCTTATGTGTATGTAATTTGTTTAAGTACAAACACCTTGGCCCCGACATTATCTTGGCATTTCTCTAAATGGTCTGTGTGAGGTTAGTTTTAACTGTCAATTCGACACAATCTAGAATCACCTGTGACGGGAGTCTCACTGCACGACAGACTGTATAAAAACAGAAAAAATGAGCTGTACACAAGCATACATGCATGAATTCACTGTGCTCAGTTCCTGACTATGCGTGTAACGTGACCAGCTGCTTTAAGTTCCTTCTGCCTTGACATCCCCACAATGACTGATTATAACCTGGAACTGTGAGCCAAGTAAACTCTTCCTTAAGTTGCTTCTGTCAGGGCATTTTAACATAGCAACGGGAAAAGAAACTAAGGCAATCTAAGATTTCCTACCCAAAGTTGTTTTCTAAGAAGTTTTATCACAAGCCAAAGTAACTCAAAACAAGCAAAACAACAAACAGAAGTATTTCATGCATCTGTTTATCTCGATTATGTTCCAATTTCATGAAGTCTATGGCTTAAGAAACAGAGTGACAACCATCAGGTTTCTCATTTCCTGTGTGTCGGACTGCTGACAGGCCCCAGCTCACAGCTTGTTCTCTGTAGCTCAGCAAATGGATTCTGTTTCTTTACACCTCTACCTGACCAGAATACAATATAGAAAAGGAATACATGATTGAAGTCATTATGGATAAACTCACCATCTCAACTACTGTTTTATATGTGCATACGACACTCAAAGACACTAAGATTTTGCTTAAATTTAATGCTGGGCATGGTGACACACACCTTCGATCCCAGCACTTGGAAAGCAGAGACAGGTGGATCTCTATAAGACTGAGGCCAGCCTGGTCTACATACTGAATTCTAAGTCAGCTGTGACTACAGGGAGACCCTGTCTCAAAAAAAACAAAAACAACAAAAAGATTTCACTTAAACATTAGATTGCTATGTAGATAACTGGGAAATTAAATGCATACTGTTTGAATTAAAACTGGGTAAGCATGCAGGATGGTTATTTTAACTCAAGTCTTTAGCACATTTCTAGTTCCTGTATTCTTAAAGTATTTTAGCACTTTCAAGCAAAGAAAATTTAAAAGACCTTCAAATCTGTTTTTAGGCAGTTGTTTTAAATCTGCTATCTCTGGCAAATTAAAAGTTACCATCAAAATAAATTCTTCCACAGGTCAGTGTTAGTCTCATTTTTTAAAAAATATTTTATTTATTATTTTTATTTTATGTGTATGTGTGTATTGCCTGCATGTAGGTAAGGGCACCCATGCTGTGCAATGCCTGCAGAGGACAGAAGAGACTGTCGGATCTCTTGGAACTGGAGTTACGAACAGTTGTTAGCTGCCATGTGGGTGCTGGGATTTGAACCCAGGTCTTCTGCAAGAACACTCAGTGTTCTTAACTGCTGAGCCATCTCTCCAGCCCAGTGTTAGCCTCTCTTGCAGTAAGTTCGGTGTACTTGCTAGAGGACTGGAGGCAGAAAGGATGTGGACAACTTCCGGAGTCACTTGCTCAGAAATAAACTGCTTACTTTCCACTTCCTTTCCCCATGGGCTAGAAAGCTGATGTGGTAGTGATGTGAATTCAACAAAGCAGTCCAATCTCCTGAAGGATTCTGGAGCAACAATATGGAAGGAACCTAGATCCTTGAAGGACAGTGTGGCACAAAGCTTCCTTAGGAGTCTAGACCTTGCCAGGTGATGCATGCCTGCAACCCCAATGTTTGGGAGGTTGGGGGCAGGAGGATCAGGAGTTGAAGGTCATCCACTGGGCTACACAGC